ATTTTGTTAAATTATTTAACAAAAAAAAAAAAAAAAAAAAAAAAAAATTTCAATATTCACATTTTATTCGGTTCGTTAAAATTGTTGATTGATGGAATGGGTACTGTAGTGAGTGAATCATCATCATCCTCACCAGCTTCCATCTGCTGGTTGTGGTCTAAGCCCCAATTGGGACTAGAGGGGCAACCCAGCTGGGCAAGTGGCAGATGAACACGTGCAGGTGGGGGGTTGCTGGTTGTCGCGCCCGATGGGGCTTAGTGCCGCGGAGCCACAAATCATCTTTGGGACGGGAGGGACCGTCAACTTATTCTCTTACTAGATAGTTAGTCTTGTTTATGATAAGAAGGAGGAGGAGGATTATGGATGGATGGGGTTATTATTTGGGGATTTCAAAGATGCAGTCAATCATCGTTATTAGTGAGTTGATCCGGAATATTTACTTTGCTTTGCTTTGCTTTGCTTACTCTTAGGGAGTTACGAAGAAAAGTGTCTGACCTGCAGGTTACCTTTTAGTTAGCAGCTAGCCAGCTAAGTACATGGATACTAGCTAGAACTTTCCATTTCAGTCCACCCACACTCCATCAAGTTCTTACTCATTCAAGTCACCCTCCCCATCGCCCTTCTTCCCCCCCATGTACAGCTGATCAGTTCAGTAAAAGAGACGAGACACCCACAGACAGAAAGTGAGAGTGACAGAGAGTCCTGACCGAAGATGGGAAACAAGACCAGACAGGCTGAGCCCATAACTCTACTTACTGACTAGTCGGGCCAACACAGTAAGGGGGGCGGCCAACAAATCAGTGGCTCCCGACGGAGGGTCCGTCATGCATGCATGCATTGCCAGCTCATCAAGGAATTTCTCGCTCTCTCGCTCTCTCTGTCTGTCTTGTCTCTCTCTTCGCGCCCTCTTGCTGTCCTCTTTTTCTTCGTTCCGGGCGGAAGTTTAGTTCGTTCGGTAGGGGAGAAAAAGACTAAGAAAAAGGGAAAACAGTATCAGGATTAGTCCGGTTTCTCATCCGTTTCTCTGCTGTTTCGTTGGCCTGCTGGGGGATCTGACCGGGTTTGCTTTCGTGTCTTGTCTACTCCGTACTATCTATCTACTTACCACCACTACTACTTATCTTCCACACTCACTGATGGGGATAATGTTTGAGGGTCAGTCGATATTTTACATGATGTTTGTTACTTAATTGAGTAGATCTAGTTGTTCAGCTGTCCTCCCTCATAGCATCAGGGAAGTTACTACTTAGTTAGATACATAACGTAAATTTACTGATTTCCCCAGACCGGGACAGGTCAGCCGTCTGGGCTGCAGAAACTGGATGGGAAGTAATGGAGAGTTAGTAAATAATGTACCTGCTCCCGCCCCGGTCCTCAAGCAAGGTACAAGTTGACGAATAAGTCAAAAAAGAGAAAGGAAAAAAAAAAAAAAAGAAACTTATTTTCTTGCCTCACCCTGCAGCTTCATCGGTCCCTGCAAGCGGCCGATTCGAGTCACCGCCAACAAATCCACGCCTTCTTTTCCTTGTATCCAGCCGACCAGCCAGTCACACAACCTGACCAACCACTCTTCTCCATCCTGCTCTGACTTGCTTTTCCCTTTCGCCCCTCCCCTCCGGATCGTTCGATTTGCTGGCATCCGCTAGCCGTGTAGGAGTAATACTGCCCACGGGAGTCCCTCGTTAGTAACTGGACTTTGATTTTTGATTTTTGATTTTTTTGTCAATATTTTTTTTTTCCGTATTTCTTTTTTAGATTTTCTGATTATTATTCTGTTATTTCCTTGAGGAGTGTCTGTCTGTGTCTGCATGTCATCCCGCCCACGGCCAAGTCAGCCAGTTGTCCCTCCCTTATCCGGACGAGGTCGGAGTTTATCAGCCTGTGAATCATTCAACTATTCCTATTCTACTACTATTCTACTACTATTCTTCCCTCATTCGAATCCCTCTTCTACTACTTACTACTTACATACTGTACTTACTTGGTAGCTGACTTGACTGACTGGCTATCCCACTGTCGTCTATTATTTGTTTCGGTGCTTTAGTTTTTTATTTTTATTATTATTATTTCCCACCTTCTTGGTATATGTCCCCGAAATAGTGTGTGTGGGTGTGGATTATATTTCTCCATTTTCTGCAATCTACCCCCCTCCATCAGTCGTCCTCATTATTGTTATTATCCTGCCCACTTTCATTCGTAGTACTGCTTCCACCATTACTACCTCTACTTCCTACCTACTTACTTACCACCACCGCACACTCCATTACCCTCTGCTCCAACTTCCCCTCCTCTCTCTTTCCGCTCTGCGTGTGTCTAGTTTTCCCACCTTGCCTTTTTCTATTATTTTGATCCTTCTTCCTCTTCTACTACTACTCTTTCTTCCTTCGTCCTTCTCTTCTCCCACCTCAACCCTCTACCAATACCACCACCACCACCACCACCACCACCACTACTACCATCTTCTCGTCGCCCCCACTCCCATCCTGGAGCTCTCCATCGTGTCCGCCATTCATCACCATCTGGATTCCCCCCATGAGGACCGAATCTCACCTACTGCCTCTCCTTTAGGAGGACCATGCGCTAGTGAGGGAGCTTCTCGCGCCGGGGGCATCTTGCAACCTCAGCTGTCTTCGTCTCGGCCTAGTGTCCAGGAGACGACTGCCCATGGCAACACCATGTTCGATGCCCAATCCGATGCTCTTTCATCCACCTTGGCTTATGTGACCTGTATGTGCGCGCACGGCTCTCTTTTTTGCCTTCTCTTCTTCTTCTTCGATTTCGACTCTTTTCTGTCCCATTTTTTCGCTCTGTCTTCCTCCGTTTACTCCTTTCGGGTCATTTTGTGCGCGTCCACTTAATTGGCAAATTAATTTGCCGAATCGCCTGGCCCCCTGTCCTACGCATCGATATTGGCTTGCTTCATGCGATCGATTGCTGTCCTTTCCCCAATAGTATAGCCACCCAGCCCGACTAACTACGTGCTAACGGCTCGGCCTTGTTTTCTGGCTCGTCAGGCTTGATTCCCTCATCCGTTCAGGCAACTACACCATGTGAGGCCGCGCCTCAATCTTCCACTCCGGTTGCGACTTCTAGCATGTCTCCCATGCTCTTTTCTCCCGACGCAATGGCGGGTCGCACCATAGGTGAGTCTGGCGACTTGGATCGCCCGATTTCGCGTGTCGCAAGCCTCGTCTGCTCCCAGGATGGACAGTCCCAGGAAAACAACCATGGCGCCCTGCCTACGGAGCTGCCCAAGGTATCCTTTGAGGAGTTGGCCGTTCGTTATCGTCAAAATCATCATAATCAGAGCCGTCGGAAGAGTTTGGAGCACCGTCTCCATGCCCTTAAGGTTTCAATGGGGATTTCGGCGCGCTTCGTCCGCGTCAGTTCAATCGTCCAACGAGGCTTGGTCGACCGCCTTAAACACGATGATAAGCCCAATTTTGTTGCTCTCTATCATACCCTGGTAGACCTCCAGGAATCATGCGATTCCGCTTTCCGGCGCAACTTTCACCGGCAGGATCCGTTGGAAGAATGGTCGCCCATCCGCGAGTCCCCCGTGGACCGTTCCCCGGACTTTTTCCTTCAGTTGAGTCCCCAATCTAGGTCCGATCTTTTGGAAATTCTACATTTGGCCCGTACCGATCCTCAATTCATCTTGGAGAGGATCAGAGCCTTGACTCCTGGCCAACTGACGGCCTTGGTATCATCTGCGGGCGCTGCAAGCGATCCCAGTGAGATGTCATTCCCACCACCTGCATCCCGTTCCCGGACTCATGCCTCCTTTTCAAAGCGCTCTTCTGCCTCTTCCCTTAAAGATCGCGCCTTGACTTTTGAGCGTACGGATGCCCTGTCTACTCTACTGTTCAACGTTTATGCGTCCCCATTGGATTCAGATGCCCCGGAAGCACAGCTCCGCTTGGATGTTTGGTCGTCTGTCTTTGCAAAATTTGTATCCGATGGCGGCATCAAGTACGATCCCCTACTCGGCCACATTTTAGGTTCCTGGGCCACAAACAGTGAATGGAAAGCGAAGCCCAAATTTGAGCTCTATCTCATGGATATCCTGCAAACCGGCGCATTTCTCCTGGAACATGTAGAAACTCCCCCTGGCATGAGTTTTGGTACAGAGCCTCCCGACCCCTTGAAGACCGATGTGGCCGAGGAATTTTTTGCTTCTGCAGTAGATGCATTGTTCCAGCTTTTGGATGACCCAGATGGAGGGCTTCCGCATGCGGTGATGCAATTGAGCAGTGCTATTTTGCAGAAACTCGAACGTCAGGACGGTCGTGACCGTTTCCTTGAGTTCTTGTTTGTCCAGTGGTTCTTTGCAAAATTCCTCTATAGCGCACTGACCTACCCTGAGGTATGAGAAGGCTCACCCAGATGTTTCAAAGCTCCTACTCTAACACTATGTCCAGGCACACGGTCTCTTGCTTGACTTCCATATCAGAAAAGATGCTAGAGAGAAGCTCCTCGGACAGGTCGGACTCCGTGCCTACTCGCAAGTCTTTGCCGTCCTTCATTCCATGTCCGTTGTCCCTTTGTCCAGTCACTACGTGAAGCTCTTATCTAGAGCATTCGCTAATTCACCTTGTAGGAACCACTATTCTATGGCTCGTCCCACGGTGAGAAGGCACGTTGAGAGCATGCTTTGCCGGTTCGACCATGCCGACCCTCGCAGGAACGTCTTCGGAATACAAACCTCTTCCCGCGCGACAGCTATCAGCAGCCGGCAATCGCCTGCTGCATTCTTGATGCTCTCCGCTGCTGACATCTTAACCCTGCTGAATGCTCTATTCCCTAGGACAACCGCTTCTACATGCAATTCCCCGCTCTCGTCTTCCGGGATGCCTTCCTCCCCTGCTGGTTCTTTGGCCGCTCGGTCAGATCGCTCTATAGCGTCTATCATTGAGCCAGGATTTTTCCGGCCTCCTTCCGATAACATGTCCATTCACGCCCTCCAGGACCAGAGATTATTTGCTTCTGACATGGCCTTTCTGTCGCTACCGGAGAATTGCATGAGTCGCAATGCTGACAGGATCCGCTTCGAGTTGTCAGATCTGAGCGAGCCTGATGGTCGTACAACTCTGGAACCACCTGCAGCTGAAGAATGGACCATCTTCTCCATGAGCCGAAATGGAAGATGCTTGACCTGGGGTCTTTTCCCCGATAATGGCCCGTCCAGTTTTCCGGAGCACGATTCTGTGGACGACGTTCAGTCCACCACCTTGGGAATTGAAGACAACTCTGAAGCTCTCCAAACAGCCATTGTGAAACTGATTCAAGATAACCCTGCCGATGATGCTGCAGAGTATGGTTTCATAGATACTTATGGCGTATCCCAAGAAGCCCATCTATCCCTAAAGCAAAAGTTCGATAGGGCCATGGAACACTGCCATCATGACTCTGATTTCATCGGGGCCCACTACTGGTGGAATGCCGGCCGACAGCTTGTCCGCAGCGTTGCAAACTCTCCCTCTCGACGCGTCGACGACTCGTGGATCCTTGAGCCCATGCATGCATCGTGTGTCCGCTCACTCGCTACCTCACGGGCGGTTATTGAACGGTGTGAAACTGATCTCGTTGCCCTCAACAGGCATGTACAACGAGTGCAGAGATCCGTAAAGGACTTGATGGCCACCGTGGCTAAACTTCGAGACAAGATGTGGTACATGACTGACGTAAAGCACTCGATGAGGTACGAAGATGCCAAACATGTCGCACTAGCATTGAAGACTATGATCTACTCTGCTCGCCTCTACAGACAAGCACCAAGCGATGGCCGGTCTCGCAGCAGCATGAGACCCTTCGGAAACTCCCTTCTTCAGAAACCAGAGTTGCAAGTCATGAATATTATGAAGGCACCAAGCAGTCAAGGTGGTCCCAACAAGCTGTCGGACGAGCAGGTGGACTTGATTCGCAAATGGCTCTCTCACAACAACATCGACAATTTCTGCAAAGGTGAGGAGCGAATCCACCGGTTCTGCTACGAGGTAAAGACAAGCATCAATCGACTCGTTGGCGAGACCATGGCCGAAACCCCGGTGCTGTGGTCCAGCGAACTGTATCACAAAGAGCGGGCCATGTACGAGGGCTCCAGTAACCGAAGCTTCCTAAGCCTCTCCTCGAGCATGCGACCGTTCAATATCTCCAGTGAAGACACGCCACATGCCTCGCCAGTCCACGGGACTACTACTCGTTCATCAGACACTTCACGGTTTACGCAGGACCTACCTCCGCTGAGCTCCAAGTCCTCTTTCCAGAGTCTGATGTCCGATAAGTGGAAAATCCCTCGGGAGCCTTCGATCACAGACGCCTCTTCAATCGGCGGGTCCCCAGGAAGGGCTGCCTCAACTACTACCGGCGATTCGTTCAGCACATTCTGGTCAACACCACAACCCGCACACTATGCACCAAGTGCTTCCAGCCTATATTCCCGACCCCCCTCTATGTTCAGCGATAACGGTGTCCAGCCGTCACGTCGCAATGATCGCAAAACACACAGCAAAGGAGCTTTCTTGGACGGCCTGAAACAGACCCTGACGAGCTTGCTCTTGAGTGACTTAGGCTCCCCGGTGTGGAGCTGTGGAAGTGAGACAGACGCTTGGTTTGGAAACGCACTGGAACAGAAAAGAATCCGAACCCAGATGAAGAAACGCGCGCGCATTCAGCAATTTTACACCGAGTGTGATGAGCGATTCGTTCATCATTCTCTCCAGCGCACACCGTCGGACCGTCGGAGAAGCAGATCGCTGGAGTCTGCAGATCGATCAACAACCGGGGATGCCGAGACACCGTCTGCATCTGCCGCTGACAACTCTATGCAGTCAGATGAAACCCAGCGCTTCTCGTACGGTACTGTCTTTCGACGCCTCATAGAAGTCTTCTCGCGACATGGGAACCCATTTATCAAGCTGAAGGCGTTGCGGGATCTGCGGGCGCTTGTTGTTGCATCTTTGAACTCCGATAACGATGATGCAAGCCCATTCAGTGCAACTGAGCCGCCCTCCTGCCCGCGAGGTCGTACTCCCGGGCTCCAGAACAAGAGAAGTGCCCGTCATAGCTTCTCCGAGTCTGATGCCAAGCGGACTCATGCCCAGGAATCCTCTCATACACCGACGACTCCTGCGGCCGAGTCTGTCATTTTCGACTCCCGACCCTCTGATTATTGTGCACCCACCGAGAATCAAATTGTGGATGCTCTTCGCAGCCTCCTCCTTGAAGTGAAGCCGAAGACTCTTTTCCGTGACTTGCAGTTCATCTCAGCCTTTGTTCCTTCGGAGACGTTGAACAAGACCGACAGCGGGACTGCATTTCTACAGTTTGGCTTGGCGGCGCTGAGCCTCAAGGACGAGATCTGCAATAGCATGGTCGAAATCGCCGATAACATTGTATCTCAAGAATTCAGTCGGCGCCATCCGCCTGGCTACGACCATACAACCCGGCCCGGGCACGCCCTCGAGGATGCTGCGGGCATGTGGATCATCACTGCCAAGGAAGGCAATCCAGTTGCCCAGCGGGAACTGGCCATTCTTTACCTTACCCACCCCGAACTCCTCCCGCGGGTAACCCTACCACTCACACTGCTGCGAGACACATTCAAGGCTGAAATGATGTACCGCCGCGACAAGGATTCCAAGTCTGACCCGCAGAGCATGTGCCTGGCACTGCACTGGATGCAGTTGTCGGCCAATGGCGGGGACGAACTTGCGCGCAACCGACTTCGGGAGCGGGAGGAGTTCGAGTCTATTGCATAAATCTCCTTTTCTATTTTGCAGTTCTACTCATACTCAGTACTTTCCTTACTTTCGATTCGTTTCTTTCTTTTATTGCTTGCGAGCATGTGCTTGTGATCATCTTTAGGACTTATATCTTTTTTCCTTCTCACCTCTTTCTATGATATTGATACCATTCACGACCTGCCGATGTTTGGCATCCGGCGCGGGTCTACTTACGCAACTAATCCTGGTGCAGACGCGCAGATCTATTGATATCCTGTTTGACAGATCTGGATGGACGGTGTTCTCCCCGGTTTCCCCTTGGCTGTTGTATTTTGCTATGCTACCCTTCTGCGGGATGTCCTTCGTCTTTCACGGAGCTGGGCAGGGTCATGAGATTCCCCTATACACTTACACCTCTTTTTTGTGCTTGGGGCGGCATTCTGCTATTCGATCACTTGTTCGTCTACCATTTTGTTTCTTTGGCTTTTTTTATCTTGCTGGTGAGTTGTCGCATCTTTACGGGGGACGAAGGAATCGGGCTCTTGGAGTTCTATCGCATACCGGGACAAGGACGGGAGTGTAGAAACGCTTTGTAGTTCGTTAGCACCTCGGACCGCAACTGGAGGGACGCAGGGAAACCCGGTCCACCAGGGTTCAGAATACAAGCAGCTTTATGCAACGTTGATGGGGTCAGGTAGTCAGGTAGCAACCACGTAGTGGGTCGGGAGTCGACAGTCGATCTCTGACAGTTTGAGAGGTGAAGAAGAGATCCCCCTCGGATGCTTGCGACGTCATCGACGGACAGCCCCACGTGCCAGGTCACGGCTGGCTGTCTGTTTGCATTTACTTCTTCTGCTCCTTCTGTCTCTTTCGATGTTTCTGTTACAAGAACTGTCAACCCAACTGCACCATCTCCTGGTCGCCTTACTCTCTGACCCCTTTTTCCTCTTTCTCCTTTACCCCTTTCGTGCTAAGCAAAGACAAAAAGAGAAAGTGAATCGAGCCACCAGGTAATCATCAGATCCAGCTGGACCGCGCGAACGTGATTCATCATCAGCAACCGTGCCACCGCCCTCATTTGTCGGACTCATCGCCAGAGGCTGAGGAATCCCACCCCCGCCTCATCCAGGCCTCCTTCCTGTGTGTCTCGTCGCCAGCTCAGCCTCAGATACTGCCTTTTCCTTCGGGCACTTGCAGCTGACTCTCATTGAATTTTCCCTTTCCCTGGCTCATTTAATTTCTTTCGGGTCGCATTTATTGCGCATCTGATCCGCTTTCTTATCTTGTCTTTTTTTTCCCCTTCCTTTCCGCCTTTCCCCTCTTCATTTTTCTCATACTTTATTTTCCTTCGACAGCGGTCGCTGCTGTTTACTTTACCAACTTTCTATCTTATTCCATCTATACATCTTGACTACACGACTTGATTTCGGTGCGCTTAGCGATCATGTCTCACCATATGGAGGATGCACACAAGCGACCCAAGGGTAAACAAGCCTCTTGCGATCATCCCCGTTCTACGTCTGGTCGCTAATCGGACAGCAGGTATCTTGAAGAACTCCAGCTCTCAAGTTCCCCAGGTCGCGCAGCATGCTCACGCTACTCTGACGATCCCTCCGACCTCGGCCGACTCTACGGACACCAAGGAAATCACGCTTCAGAACACCCTCCAGAATGCCGGTCGACGTCGGTCGTCATCCAACACTCGCCCCGGGTCTTCGTCGCGACGACAGTCTCTTGCCAGCATCCACGGTCATCACGACGAGTCTTCGCCTCGCCTGAAGTGGGACGAAGCCAACCTGTATCTGACCGAGCAGGAGAAGACGGCCAAGATGAAGATCGATGAACCCAAGACTCCCTATGCGCCGCGCTATGACCCCGCCGAGGATGAAGACGAGCTGGCGGGTGAGGAAAGTCTGATTGATGCGCAAGAGGTGGTGGTGGACGAACTGGACAAGACGAAGAAGGCGCCCAAGAAGGCGATCGCAGAGGACGATATTCCGGATTTGGAGCTGGGAGAGGCCGAGGAGTATGGTGGTGATGCGCATATGGGAGATGCGGATCGGATCGTGCGCGAACGAAGCCTGAGCAATGACTCACATCGGGGCGGGAAGCACGTTGTAGTCGGGGCTGGCGAGCTGAATGGCGAGACGGAGTCTGGTGGAGATACGTTGATGACGGCGGGCGAAGCCGAGGCAAAGCATCGCCAGTTCGAGCAGCATCGGAAGAAGCACTATGAGATGCGGAACATTAAGGAACTCCTTGCGTAAGTTGCCCCTCGTTTTCCAGAATGGGACTGTGGGATTTGTCATGGTGTCTGGTATACTGACGGGTTTCTGATTTGTAGTCACCCGGAAGAGCTCGAGGACGAGATGGACGAAGATGAAGACGAGGGGGACAGCTCGAGCGCCGCGGTGCCGCCCCCGATGCCTAGGATTCCGGAGCGATTTCTAAATGGAGGAAAGTGAGGGTGCGAAAGGATGGACGGGCAGAAAGAGAACTAATTTACTCTACCCGAGAAGGACTTAGGACGGGAAGAGGTAAACAGGAAAATGGATGGAGGGAGGGACTAGCTGATTCTTACTGCATTAAACGGACTCTGTATATTCCCCAGCGTTGTTGTTTGGTCATGATTGGACGGACTTGTATGTATCTATGGGAAGTATTCTGCTTTTTACTACGGTTTTTTTTTTTTTTTTTTTTTTTTTTTTTCCTACAAGCTGATGTGGATTTGTCAGCTCTTTGAGACTCATAGCGATTGATGGGTTGATTGATTGATTGATAGACGAGAGAGATAAAATGAAATGTACGGGGGGAGGAGGAAGTTATGGATTATTGACACGTCTTGTTTTAGAACTAGATACGTAGATACTAGAATAGTACTCCGTAGTAAAATGAGCTAGTCAAGTGTCAGGGAACCGAAACAATCCACCCGAAGCAAAGCAGGGAGAGTTCCAGACTGTTGTTGTCTGACCTGCTAGTTGGCCAGGGGGG